TGTGTGTGTGTTTTTGTATCTGTCCCACATTTTCTCCCACACTTTCAACTCCGGAGCCACAAAAGCTAGACGGTTGAAATTTTGGTGCAGTGTTCCCCGCCAGTGGGTGACGCGGCAAATTTAAATTCAACCTTCCCGTACCCGCGCGTAACACACACGGCCTCGTGAAAATTTTCACGGGTAAGTTAATATCTCGGGAACTACGGAGTCTAGGAGGCTGAAATTTTAGGGTAATGACCCCCGGCCCACGCTCGACCTTGCCTATTCAAACTCAGCGTTCCCGCGCTCTTAATTATTACCTACGGTCTCGTGAAAATTTGGCGGATGCACTATTAATTCGGAAATTACGGAGAGATATTCACCCTTCAAGGTTTCGAATTCAGCTTTCATGCGCTGGTGCGTGAAATTTTTAACTTTTCCAATGTCTCCTTCAAGGTTTCGAAATCAGCTTTCATACGCTGGTGCGTGAAATTTTTAACTGTTTTTCAATGTTAGAACTATTTTTGCATAGACTAAAGTACAAAGCAGTGAAAATCATTAATAGGCAATCGTTCGATGGGTATTTTTGCATAGACTAAAGTACAAAGCAGTGAAAATCATTAACAGGCAGTCGATGGGCTGAATTGCACAAAACGCATGATCGCACCGGCTAGTCTGGTGCGCGTTGCTATTTATTTGAAAATGATCCAGCTGTTCAATCAGAAACTTTCCCGTCAAAAATTTAAATGCCCGTACACGAGAACTACGCGAGGCTGAATTTGAAACCTTTGCTTTGTATTAGAACGAGGAATATTCTAAAATTTCAGCTTTCCAGCTTTTCTGGCTCCCGAGTTAGAAATTTTCTCGCCAAAAATTTCACAAGGCCACACGTGGCCTGGGAGCATACCTGGAGGCTGGGTTTGAAATCTATAAGTTGTACGTGGGCTGGGAACATGTATTTAAAATTACAGCCTCCCAGCTTTTCTGGTTCCTGAGTTAACTATTTTCCTGCCAAAAAATTTCGCGGGACCGTACGTAAAAACCATGCATGCCTGGGGCCTAAATTCGATCACTTTAAATTGTATACGTGCAGGGAACATTCCCTGAAAATTTCAGCCTCCCAGCTTTCCTGGTTCCCAAGTTAGCGACTTTCGTGCCAGGAACCCTCACAGGGCCGTACGTGGGAACATGCACACCCGGGGGCTGAATTTGAAACCTTTGAGTTCTATGTGGACGGGAAGCATAAACTCAAATTTTCAGCTTTTTATCTTTTCTCGTCCCCGAGTTTGCAATTTTTCCGCCAAAACATTCACCCTCTCGTATGCGGGATCCAGACTTGCGTAAGAGATGGCACCGCGGTTCTGGGGTAGCACATGGCCGGAGAACCCACTAGCAAAATTTTGGCGCCGGAGCTTGCTTGGTTGAAGAGTTGAAATACCCGGACAGATAAACACACACGCACACACAGACAGGGTCGTTGCAACATGCGTTTTTGCAATTTGCATAAAAGCAATAATTGGCCAACGCACGGGCTGCCCCTGCGAAGATGCGTTTTTTGCATAGCTTCCCGCAGTTTTTGTCGTTACCGGCATCGGTTTTTTCGGCAAATGCTTCTAGCTGAACAAATTAAGACTAGCCGCCAGAACTGGCAGGAAACAGCTCCTTAAAACTTCAGCTTTCTAGCTTTCCTGGCTCCTGAGTTATCATTTACTAGCACGGGGAACATTCCTCTAAGATTTCAGCGTTCTAGCTTCTCAAATCCCCGAGTTGTGAACTTGCCCGGAAAGGTTTTGGCAGGCCCGTACGCGGGTACCACGCTTATCCAGGGGATGGGTTTGAGCGTATTAAAACCTCCTAAGACGAGGAACATCCCTCTAAGATTTCAGCGTTCTAGCTTCTCAGATCCCCGAGCTATGAACTTGCCCCAAAAAAACTTTGGCGGGCCTGTACGCGGGTACCACACAGGTGATGACGCCACTTTTGAGGACTGGGGCCGGCACGTGCATGTAGATTAAGTTCTCGAAATTTCAGCTCTGTAGCTTTTATAGGTCTTGAGATGAAAGTGCGTGATAGACGCACACACAGACATACAGACACACGGACACACTGACAACCCCTCGTCAGTATGCGTTTTTGCATTGCATAGCTGCAAAAAACACATAAAAACGCTTAACTTAGTCGAAAGCGTACCGGCTGCCGGTACGAGGATGCGTTTTTTGCACAGTTCCTCCCGCAGGTTTTGTGGCCAGTGGTATGCTCTTCCCTGCAGATGTTTCTAGCTAAAAGAATTGTGACTGCCCACCACGACAGTTAGAAATTATTACAACGATTCCCAATCCATGCCCAAAAAATTCACCGCTGTGGATGCTTCGGTTGCAGAGTTACGCCAAATTTCACGTGTTCGTACGTGAGTGGCAACGTGAGTGCTTTCTTCGTCCGCGATTGGTCAAACACGGTCCTGGATAACGCTTAGAAGGTCTCAGCACTTCAGCTACTCTGGTTGCGGAGTTACGTCAAATTTCACGTGTTCGTACGTGAGTGGCAACGTGAATGCTTTCATCGCTCGCGGTTGTTTAAACACGGCCCTGGGCAGCGCTCAGAAAGTTTCAGCATTCCAGCTGCTCTGGTTGCAGAGTTACGTCAAATTTCACGCGTGTACACGTGAAACGTACGTGAGACGTGAAAGTGATGTGCAAGTCGTTTTTACGTGCATTTTGTCAAAGGCCACCATCGGTTATGCTCAGAAAATTCAGGGTTTCTGGCTGGTTTAATTCTAAAGTTACAAAAGCGCATGCGTGAAATTTTCACGTGTTCGTACGTGAGATGCAGAACTGACAAGTAATTTACTTTCGTGGACACAACAGCTGGCGACGGGTAACGCTGCAGAATTGCAGCTCTCTGCAGTTTACTGATCACCTTAAATCTGGAGTTGGCATTATGCCAGCTCAAACTTTGACGTGTTCGTCCTTGAGACCTGGGGGTGCGTGAAGGCTGACTTTAAAATCTTTGAATTAAACGCGGCCAAGGAACGTCTCTGTGAAGTTCCAGCCTCCTGGCATGGATCGTTTTCGAAAACGCTTTCTCGCCAAAAAAACTTTCACGTTGCCCTTACGTGAGAACCACGCGGACCCGAGCGTCCATCTTGAGGATAGGAGCCCGCACGCATGTGTAGATTAAGTCACCAAATTTTCAGCCTTGTATT